GCGTAATCAGTTTATTTGAATGGGTTGTGATGACTTTTTATTTGATGAATACCGGTACAACTTAGCAGAGGGTAATTAATTATATTTTTCATAAGTTGATTGGCAGGATTGTTGAAATCTACATTGACGATGTGATTGTAAAATCCAAGGGGTACAAGGAACGTCTAGCTGATTTGCGGGAGACTTTGGAGTGTACAAGAAAACATGGTCTAAAGATGAATCCTAATTAGTATGCCTCTAGAGTATCAGCTGGACAATTTTTGGGTTCCATGGTCCACGAGAGAGGAATCAAAATTATTCAAAAAAGTATGAAAGCAATTGATGAGGCAGTGTCCCCGACTACTAAAACAGAGTTACAATCTTTGCTTAATAAGATTAATTTTATCTGAAGGTTTATTTCAAATTTGTCGGAAAGAGTTCTGTCATTTTCTCCCTTGTTGAAGTAGAAAAATGATCAAGAATTTAAATGGGGGTGACGTACAACAAAAGACGTTTGAGGAGATAAAAGAATATATGAAATGTCCACCTGTGCCGGTCCCTTAGCAAGGTAAGCCTTTTAAATTGTATGTATCGGCCGATGACCAAACAATTGAATCGGCCTTGATGCAAGAGTTTGAAGGAAAAGAACAAGTTGTTTTCTATCTAAGTAGAAGGCTTTTGGACCCAGAAACAAGATATTCTCCCATAAAAAAGTTACGCTTGTGCTTATATTTCTCTTGCACTAAGTTATGACATTATTTATTATCGGCTGAGTGTATAGTTGTTTCCAAGGCTGATGTGATCAAGCACATGCTATCAATGTTAATATTAAATGGAAGAATGGGGAAGTGGATTCTTGTGTTGTTGAAATTTGACTTGAGGTACGAATCGGCTAAAGCAGTCAAAAGACAAGTAATAACCGATTTTATCACCCAGCATCATAAGCCAAGTATTGGCTATGTAGAGCTGGTACCTTGGACGTTATTGTTTGATGGATCATCATGCAAGCATGGTGGTGGCATTGGTATTGTTATTATTTCACCTCGGGGGATAAGTTTTGAGTTTGCTTTTCCAACTGAACCAATGATTACTAACAACCACTACACCACAACACCGCTTCACCGTCAGACATCTAACGCCAAAAATTATATTTGGCGATGGATGATATGACGCTAAAGATAACTCAGATACCATCTGTCGCTAAATCCTCATTTAGCGATTTAGTGTCTGTCGCTATAGGTATTCATATTTAGCGTTGAACCGTCTGTCGCTAAACATATGTATACCGTCCCTCTGCCTGTCGCTAAAAAATAAGTGGGCCCCACCTAGCTCGAGCACGCCACTTACATTGAGCTCCCGCGCCCAGCTTACATCAACCTCGTGCGCATATTTTAGCTGGCCCACGTGTACAGTTATAACCCTAGCCCCCAAATTCCAAATCCCAAATCTAGTGAAGTCATCCCACCAGTCGCCCTCTCCCTATCTTCCCCCACGCACGCCGCCCTCTCCCTCTCTTCACGCACGCCGCCCTCTCCCTCTCTCCCCTCGCACGCTGCCCTCCTCTCCTAAGGCCGGATCCACACCAGGGCGACCTCCTTTCACCTCCCACGGCCTGATCTACGCTAGGGCGGCCTCCCTTCAACTTCCTCGGTCGGATCCACGCAGTGGGGGCTGCCCTTCTCTCCCCTCGACTGGATCCGTGGTGTGCCCTCCATTGCTGGTAATGGCGCCTCCATCGACTCATGGCGGGCTACGGGAGGATCCACGTAGTTGGGGCTGCCCTTCCTCTCCCCTTGGCCGGATCTGTGGCATGCCCTCCATTGTTGGCAGCGGTGCCTACATCGACTCGTGGTGGGCTATGGGAAGTATTGGGGCTATGTTCCATGGAGGAAGCCCCACATCGCCAGCCCCGCCTACCTCCACCGTTCTCCGCCCCGTCTTCCCCTCCGTCCCTTCCCCGAGGCTCAGAAACCCCACCTCCAGCGGCCACGGCATCCACTCTGCAAGAAAGGTGAAGGCAGTGGCTGTGTGCTCACAGGATCCTTTGAGCGTTGCTACAGGTTAGAGGAACATGCTGATCTCTATTTTGTTCTTCAACTCACAGCTTTGGTCCTCTTGGATCTCTATTCTTTTCTGGAGTTCGTCAGTCACCGTTTGGTCTACAGATCTACAGGCCGGTAGCAGGGGTGCAGCAGTAGCTCAACTAGATCAACTTTTCCTCTGTGCTTGGCTCATTGTGTTGCCTCTATTTCTATGCTTTCACCCAATAAAATCATCATAGGTTGTACGACCCTTGAGGCATACTGACAGTAATAGCAGTTTGCTAGCGTTGGCTTTATTTTGCCTATGTTTTGTAGTTCCAGTTACCATTTGATTACCTGATAGCCTGAAAAGGAATTTGCATATAATTTCTGCTGTCTGGCTTAGTTTTGATTGCAAGTTTATATCTTAGTGCTATTATTCATTCAGTCACGTATTTTATTTCTGGGACCTAGCAGACCTCAATTGAGATCCTGGCCTCCTGTTTCTTCTGTAAGCTTGCCCTAAGAGCTGGAGCGCATCCTATTATCAGCCTCCTATAATGGCAAAGTTCCATAACGATCACTTGTTATATTGCTAGGAAGTAGAAACTTCCTTGCTAAATCTAATTTGTTCTTTTTGCTGACAGGTGAGATCTATGGGAACAAAAGGGACTTGAGAGGTTTTCTCTTATTTGGTATTCAATTGTATTATATTGCTAAGGAGAGCCTTATTGTGTATAGCAAACATGTGTAAACTTGTATGTCCTAAGCTCCTGCCACACTGGTTTCATTAATTGCCTTTAATAAGTGAAGGTTACTGTCTACTCTATGTCATAGCCAGTTTTATGTCAACACTTCATGTAGGGCCATGCTATGTTCAATTGGTCACTGGTAAGCCTCTTTGTGATGTGAGCCGACGAGCCAGCGGGGGAGCACTAGCGAGATTCTGGCAAACTACGCGTGGATGAGATGAATCCATTTATCTAGCATAGAGCAGAGGTGCAGAGCACGCTGTGCAGGGTGCTGCAGCCTAGGACGGGGCAAGTGGGCGGGAAGATCTTGGCAGTAGGCCTAGGCGCGGTGGCTGCATGGAACGAAATGCCGGCGCGCTACTGCTGCATGCCTAGTGATTATGATTTACAAGAATTTATATTAGAACTAATGCTAAGGTGACACTAATGACAAGGAATTACTAATTCTAGAAGTAGAAACAATGTCCCCATAATGCTCTGCTAATGATTCTAGACAAACAGCGGTACATCTTTTCATTGAACCATTGAATATGATATATTAGACTTATAATGTTTTATGTGTGACTGTTGCATAATCTCTTCATCTTGGCTACTGCAGTGTGAGTGCTTCTCTGAATCTCTGATTTACTGAGAGCACTATGCACCAACCTAAATTATTACTTTACCGAATCAAGTAATCTTGTGTCAACTCTATGTATAGTGTGCCATTTTAGTATTTTGAGGTGATCTTGACTTTTAGACTTCTATTCAGTACAGTTACAATGCCTCATGCATTTTGGTTTTAATTCATAAGTCTAATTTGGAGCTCTGGCGTACTCCCTGGAATGGTGATTTTGTACTAGTGCTAGCAGTAGGAGTCTAATACTAATATTTCTGAACATTTGTTTTCAGTTAAGGCCTGTTGTGGTGCAGTGAGTTGACATAATTTTCATTTTGCCTTGATCTGTGATGCATGACCAATGTTCTTAATTAAACCTATCTGTGATAGGTAAAGGAATGCAAGAAAAAGGAGTGCAACAAGGCATCTAGACCTCTCAAGGGCATTGTAGGTATGACCTTAAATTTACATTCATCAAACTACGTACAAAACTAGTGACAAATTGTAAAAACCTAGTGACTAAATTCAGCATATAGAAATATATTTGGAAGACAAAACTAGTCTCTTGCTTACTGTTTCTAAAGAAAGGTGTCTTACCTTTTTACTGATATTTATACTGTTTTTAAGCTGAAAAGGAGCCTGATTGTCTAGTTAAAGAATAGTAGTATTATTTTCAGATGCCGGGCCTCATTAGCAAGCAGTATTATTTTCAGATGCCGGACCTCATTAGCAAGCAGAAGCTGTTTAGTTAAATTGAATCGGTTGGGAAATGAAATTTAGAGCACAAGCATCTTCCTTTTTTTTCTCAGAGCACAGGTGTCTGATGCTCACATGTATGGGTACAAGACTAGTTAAGCAGCAAGGTGCTAGTGGGGAGCAACTACGTCTTGTCCTTGAAGCTCTGAACCTGATCAGGGATTCACGGCAGTGCCCAGCAGTGATGCGGGCCTTGCCGACGAGGCTGTGATGTTGGCCCCAAACTTGAAATTTAGTAGTAACTTTAAGACCTGTTTATAATGTATGGTTCCATTCACCAAAGTTTTGTTGAACCACAAATCCATGACCTTGCATTACTGTTTGAATTTTGAACATGAATCTTCACTGCCTCCTTTGTATTGAAGACATGTTTTACTCACTTGTGCAGCATGAAGGATGTTAGCAGCTCAATGGCAGTTGATCACAGTTGACAGCATCAGGTTTGTCAACTCTCTAATCTTCACATTGCAGCAACAACATTAGCTCGACGGTCGCACTGAGCTTTATAGAATGCTTTGCATGTGTGTTGACAGTAGCACTAGATCAATAGCAGCATGTGCTATTTTTCTTTTTTAGCCTTTGGTTTAATTTCTCTCTTGTTTAATTAATTAGAGCATTTATTAGCTAGCAGATTAGTAAGTTAAATCAATTAGAGCATTTAGTAGCCGGCAGATTAGTAAGTTAATTCCATTATTTCTTTGCTTCTAATGATATATTATTGTCGAAGTGATATTTATGTACATGTATTTTAGGGAATTAGGCCTTCTCTGTTTTGAGAATAACACTTTATATCTTACAGAGTAATACACAATTTTACAACTATAGAAGTGATGATTTCATCTTGTTCCATACTAATATGCTTGGGGTTGGTTGTTTAGTTCCTCATTGGTTGTGATGTACAAGACAAATTGGATGTACAAGACAAATTCATTTGGTGCAACCGAGATCCTGGAGGTGCTCAAGAACTGGCCGGAGAGGAGCATCCAGGTCATCGTCGTCACCGACGGCGAGCGCATCCTTGGCCTCGGGGATCTCGGTTGCCAGGGGATGGGAATTCCCGTTGGCAAGCTCTCCCTCTACACTGCCCTTGGAGGTGTTCGCCCCTCAGCTGTAAGCGCTGCTCACAATGCCCCTTCTTCAGTGTTATTACTCCTAATAAACTTGTACTGCTGGACCGCTGGTAGTAGGAAAGAATTGGAATCGATTTGCTGTGTTCTTTTTTCCTCTTCTCTGAACATGGAAAATGATTACTCTGCTGCAGTGCCTGCCGATCATGATCGATGTCGGCACCAACAACGAGACCTTGCTCAACAATGAGTTCTACATCGGCCTCTGCTAGAAACATGCCACCCCAAGGTCAGCCACTGATCTGATCTGTAGGGCTGTTCTGTTCACCACCTGTAGCTGCACTTGGTGAATTTGTTGTAATCGATCTCTTGTCTGGAATCTGGATTGAGACGTGTTTTCTGTATTGATGGTTCATACAGGAGTACCATGAACTTCTCGAAGAGTTCATGACGGCCGTCAAGAAAAACTACGGCGAGAAGGTGCTCACCCAGGTCAGTCTCAGTCATCGGTCATAGTGGACCAGTCACAGACACTACCATACTTGTTGTTGGTTTTCGCCTTTTTGCCGCTGGCCTTTCTCTCTGTGCCTGTCGACTCCTGAATCTGAAATGCGATGTTCTTGTTGACCTGTGACGTGCAATTCGAAGACTTCGCGAACCACAACGCTTTTGACCTGCTGGAGAAGTACAGGGAGAGCCATCTCATCTTCAACGATGATATCCAGGTAGCTTATGCAGCTCGGTGTGTTGACAGCAACACCATGGTCCATTGGTCCATGGATGCCAAGTTCTTATACAGAGGGTGCTGCCTGTTTTGTACTCGTCCTTTTCTTTCTATACTGTGCCGATGAATGAACAAAAACGATGCGGGTGGAATTGTTGCAGGGAACAGCCTCCGTGGTCCTGGCAGGCCTCCTGGCGGCGCTCAAGGTGGTCGGCGGGACGCTTGCAGACCACACTTACCTGTTCCTAGGTGCCAGCGAGGTCAGTTGCGATTATATGGTTTGATCTACATTATATACTGCAGCAGTGTTAATTACCTTACCTCTTCTTTCTCAAAGTTTTGGATCACGCACGAGATGCTTTTCTTGGTGAAATTGACATGCTTTTGTTGTCTGCTTGCAGGCCGAGACTGGCATCACCGAGCTCATTGCTCTCGAGATGTCAAAACAGACTGGGTCTCCGATCGAGGAGTGCCGCCCGAAGATCTGGCTCATGGACTCCAAGGGCCTGATCATGGCGTCGCGGATAGACTCGCTGTAGGCGTTCAAGAAGCCGTGGGCGCATGAGCACGAGCCCGTGGCGACACTACTAGAGGCGGTGCAGTCGCTGAAGCCGACGGTGCTGATCAGCACGTTGGGCAAGGGCGGCACCTTCACTCAGGACGTGGTGGAAGCCATGGGTGCCTTGAACGAGAAGCCCTTGATCTTCGCGCTATCGAACCCGATGTCGCACTCAGAATGCACGGCGGAACAGGCCTACACGTGGACGCAGGGCCGCGCGGTGTTTGCGAGCGGCAGCCTGTTCCCAACGGTGGAGCTAGACGGGAAGACGCTAGTGCCAGGCCAGTCCAACAACGCCTACATCTTCCCTTGGTTCGGCCTCGGCGTCATCATCTTGGCCGCCATCCGCGTCCGCGACGGCATGCTGCTGGCCGCCTCTGAGGCGCTGGCGGAGCAGGTGACGGAGGAGCACTTCGCCAAGGGCCTCATCTTCCCGCCCTTCACCAACATCCGCGCCATCTCGGCCCACATAGCCACCAAGGCCTATGAGCGCCTGCCACGCCTCGGCGACCTCGTCAAGTATGCGGAGAGCTGCATGTACACCCCCACCTACCGTAGCTACCGGTAAGGATTAGGACCATGGCTGGGGGCTACGACTGGCGCAAAGGAAAGGAAACGGGTGAATTATTATTACAGATAGACTATAGAGTGATGAGTGAATAAAAAGTTGAGCTGATGATTGTTGCAGCTAGAGGAGTGAGTTTACATATATACGTTGATTTCTACTGTATTTCATCTTGTTCCATACTGATGTACAAGACAAATTCATTTGGTGCTTGACTTTGATGGATGTGATGTACAAGACAAATTGGATGTTATATGCATTGAGCTGCATGTGATATGTGTTTGTGTATCTTCATGTGACATGTGGACACTATATGAGCATTGAATATCATTTTGATATGTGCTAAAAATTGTATTTTTTTCTATATTAAATTGTTCTGTTGAACAGTCTGTCGCTGTAAATGTATGGAGTGTTAGATGATCTGATGGTGAATGTGTGGTAACAGATTATCTATTGCTAAAGAGTGGCAACAGGCTATCTGTCGCTGTAAATATTCACTGCAATAGACTATCTGTCGCTAAAGATTTTTAGCGACAGGACTTACAGCGTCTGCGCAAGTCTGTCGCTGTAGCTGCTTTTAGCGTCAGATCGTCCATCGCTAATCTTGATGTTGTGGTGTAGTGAACCAAGCAGAATATGAAGCTATTCTTAAGGGGCTTCGACTTCTCCATGAAGTAAAGGCCTAGGCAATTAAAGTATTTGGAGATTCATAGTTAATTATGAATCAGTTGATCAGCCTATATGAATGTAAAGAAGATACTCTGAAGGGTACTATGATGAGTGCCAAAGGTTGCTCAAGGAATTTCCTCATGTCTCGCTTCAGCATATTCCGAGAGCACAGAATCAAGAGACTAATCGTTTAGCTCAAAGTACGTTAGGTTATCGAGTGTTTTAAGAGGTTTTACGTAGTGAGATCTCGAATAATGATTGAAGAGTTGAAATAGCCGATTACCTTAAGAATCCATCACAGAAGGTTACCAGGAGGCTAAGGTATAAATCGACTAAGTACGTTTTGCTAGATGATTAGTTATATTACAAAACAGTCGATGGGGTGTTGCTTAAATGCTTAAATCAAGAAGAAGCTAAGGTATTGATGGGTGAAGTACATGAAGTGATATGTGGAGCTCATCAGTCGGCTTATAAGATGAAATGGATTATTCGCAGGACTGGATATTTCTGGCCAACAATACTAGAAGATTGTTTTGAATATTATAAGGGGTGTCAAAACTATCAACTTTTTGGTAATATTCAGAAATCGCCCGCATCGGCTATGAATCCAATAATCAAACCATGGCCGTTTCGAGGTTGGGGAATTGATTTAATTGGCTAGATTTTTCCGCCTTCAAGTAAAGGACATAAGTTCATATTGGTAGCAATGGATTACTTTACTAAGTGGGTTGAGGCAATTCCTTTGAAGACGGTAACCTCAAAGAACATGGTTGATTTTGTCAAGGAGCATATTTTGTATCGTTTTGGGATTTCTCAAACTATCACTACCGATCAAGGGACAATGTTCACATCAGAAGAGTTTAGAGATTTTGCTGCCAGTATGGGAATTAAGTTGTTAAATTCTTCTCCTTACTTTGCTTAGGCTAATGGCCAGCAGAGAGGCGTCCAATCGATTATGATTAAGTCGATCAAGAAAAAGATTGAAGAACAACAAGAAAGTGGCATTCAACACTTAATGAGGCACTATGGACATATAGGATGGCCTGTCATGGATCGATTAAAACATTACCTTATGAACTTGTGTATGGTCATAATGCAGTCATTCCTTGGGAGATTCAAACTGGATCGAGACGTGTCATATTGCAAAATGATTTGTCTGCCGAAGTCTACAAGAATCTTATGATAGACGACTTAGAGGACTTGAGTTGCCATCGGCTGCGTGCTCTTGAGAATATCAAAGCCAATAAACTAAGGATTGTAAAGTATTACAATAAAAAGGTCAAGAGCAAATAATTTTCTGAAGAAGACTTAGTCTGGAAAGTGAAATTGCCAATCGGGTCAAAGGACAGCAAGTTCGGCAAATGGTCACCTAATTGAGAAGGACCTTATCGGATTAAATGTTGTGCGCATGGCAATGCTTATATTTTGAAAACACTAGGAGGAAAAGAAGAGTTTGACAGAGCAATCAATGAAAAATATCTAAAGAAATATTTTCCTAGCGTTTGGATTAATACTTGATAGCCGATTTATTCGGTCATCAGCTCTAATAGCTGATACCAGAAGGGTATCGCCTCTAGTTCAAAAATAAACCCGAAGGGGTAAAAGCCGGTACGATACGTATCACCTATAGAACAAGAACAAACACATATTGGTACATGGAATATGAGTACAAGAAACCACTTAAATCGAAGAAATTGTTTGCTAGCTTCTCCTATTACAAGCTAAAGGCCGGGAAACACTTTATTCACTATGTCTTTGGCCTAGGAAGCAAGGGCTATGGAGTTGGCGGCATTGAAGAAATCCTTGACCAGGCGCTCATGATTCTCAGGGTGTTCGATGGCTGGAAAACCATGGGGAAGAAGTCGAAGCTCATGGCCAGAGCGAGCTTGTGCAACAGCTAATGCCATGGCAGTACCATGACGAACACCGTGGATAGCAACCTCTCTCACGTGGTTTGGGACGTCGTACAAGAGAACCACCGGCATGGCACCCCTGGCGTTGACGAATCCTGCTGCATACTCTACAGCTGATCGAAGGCTTTCCAACTGGGCCGATAGATCTAGAAACATTCGAGGAAGGGATGATCAAGATCTTGAAGACAAAAACTAAGAAGAGACAAAAAATTGTGGTAGGCATCTCACCCTTGATTCTGGCCTCGGCCTTGGCCAACCTCTCCTCCACCTAGTCGGCCTCGGAGGGTGATCGACGCTGAACCAAGGTGGTCAGAGCCGATTTCGCGATGGAGATGCAGTCGACGAGCTTCTGGCTAGCCCGATCGATGGATGCGATCAGATCGTCGTTGCCGATTTGCTTCCTCGAATAGCAGGGGAGCGGGCGGCGAATCATTGATGAAGACGACCTCGGAAGTTGAGTGGAGTTGGCCCTATGATCCGAGACGATGGGAGCATCCTGAGTTGCATCCTCTTGATGACGAAGACGCTGGCGTGGTGACACAGACCCATCAAAGGCCTCTTCAGCAGACCTCTTGCCTTAATCCATGTCTTTGAGCCTATGGAAAAGCAAAATCGCACCAAAAGAACATGGAAGGTTTGGGACAAACCAGGTTGTTTTTCGATCCATAGCATTGGCCCATATATATTGCCGGGGAGGTGAGAAGATAGGCTTCGTTGGGGTTATGGAATTAAAGTCAGTTATGGAAATAGATCAACACTCCAGAAATTTAGGGGACAGATCACGAAGAAATAGCGAATTCGGACTTATTGCTTCCCATAATTACAAGATACCAAAGGTTTACATTAACTGACAATCAACCCACTAGGACTTCTTTGGATTGAAGGGAGTCCGGATCCCCACAAGGCCGAAGGTCATCATGGACCGAGCCATATCGGCCTGCTAATAGAAGTGCATCGTAGGTAGAAAAAGGTCGCCACTTTAAAGATATCCATATATCCAACCGATTCCTCGGTGGCTGGGAAACAATGGGAAAGAAAGCCGCCTGCTAAAAGACACCTATTTCTCGGTGGCTGGGAAACCATAGGAAAGAAGTATGTGGTTTCCCCGATGAGCATTTGACAAGGCGAACAAGGGAAATGTGTCGACACATTTTATCCCTTGCAAACACTAGAACAACTCTGTAATTATGGTGAGAAAACTCAGGTGATGTCACAAGAGTTCTTCTAACCGCAGTGGCTGATCCTCTTGCTCGACAAGGAGCTGAAATGAGCGATACAATCACCCTATGCACAAGAATTCTTCTAACCACTCAAGACCCTCATAACAAGGAATTAGACCATGGAGGGTCTAGCGGAGCCAAAGGCACTTGAGAAAGCAAGCAGAAGAGAAACATAACTGAGTTGTTGAGTTGCTCTTGCCAGAGTCGAATAGACATTTATAGTCGATTTGGAAAGATGAATCCAAGCGCCCGTGAGACAATGGTGTTCCTGTGAAGCTTTGAAGCATGGGCTCATAAGTAGGCAAGGACGGTGGCAGATAGTAGGCTCTAGATAAAGATTCTCTATCCGTGACTATGAACCTATCGGGGGTACGGACGTGGTAATTTTGAAATAAAATTACTTTTATCCCAAAATTGGGGGGCATATGTTTACACCAAAAATTTGGGAAGAAGAACGCAGGAACTTGAAGCTTTCAAGATTATGTCATCAAGGAATCGATTGCATAAGGGTCGATATCAGCTGATTCAGATGTGGCACTGGAATTGGCTCTCTTTGAATGACATCAGCAGATAACGACAATGAGCTACGGTTGGCGTCGGGAAATACACGTCGGTCTCTAAAAAAGGAAAAGATTAGGGTCCAAGTTATCTTAAGTTAGGAATATTTTCTTTTATACCAAAGATTATAATGAATCGTACTTAAGTAGGATTCATGCTTAGGCTCCGGGTATAAATATTGGACCCATGCTATTGTAAAAGATCATCCAATCAATCAATATAAATTACTTTTTTTGGCTTTACGCCAACACTTAGGAGTAGGAGTAGTGTAGATCTCGGCGAGTTCTTCAATAAGCAGGGCTGCATCGGTCCGGCTAACCTCCGGCTTATCTATAAGTACCATCATGGCTTATACTTCTGTTTGTACGACTGCATCGGTTAAGTTCGACCTCCACTGCGAACTCTAGTATAAGCTAGTTATCAACTCTTATCTAGTTCAAGTATAGCTGCATCGGTTAAGTTCGACCTCCACTGCTCGAATTAGATTAAGGTCAAGTTATCGACTCTACCTAAGGGTGGCGTCCTTCGGGTAGATTCATTAAGTTACCGATCTTGCTGATGTTCTTATTGTTATTAGTTTTCAGCAACATTAACCTGCCCGGTCGAGATCGATCTAGATCGGCCTCATATCCTTTTAGTCCAT